CTTTCTGTGCGGCCCGGTACCAAATGCCCTGCGGACCGGTACCGGTCCGCGGACCGGCGGTTGGGGACCCCTGCTTTAAAGGACAGATTGCCCATCAAAGTTCAAACCACTGTTAGCTGCAGCAGTCTTGCGGCCACCACCACATTTCCTGTCTGGCACTGAGCCCAAATTGGCTGCCATCCAGGACACAATGGCAGCCTCACTGGCTCCAGGCTGTGACTGCTGAGTGGAATCTGAAAAAAAAGCACATTTTGCAAATGTTGAGTATGAGGTCAATTTTTGTGTGAAGGAACTCCATACCTAGGAAAGGACTTGTGAGATTGCCATGTGACTGTGCCAGCAGAAACACTTCCTGTCGGGGATCAGTCGAGCTTAAGCATTACCCACTGGGCATCTCATGTCAATTTCAGAATCAATATGACTTTAAAATTCAATCTTCGAACATCAAATTGACATCACGTGCCTGTTGAAGAGCTAGTTGGCTAACTGCTAACTATTCGTTTCGGTACAGGTCCTTTCAAATTGGTGGCTAATTACCCGACCTTTTCACAGACTTTGAGCCAAGTTAAATCTATATAAATTGAACATTATTTGAAATAGTGGTTTTACTGCAGTTGAGCATAAATGGACCTATACAGTAGCCATGAGTGTTTGCTAAAATTAGTTGGCTAATAGCTATTAGCATTCCTTCATGCCACGTGTTTTGAAACATTGATGAAACACACTTTACAATTTGAGCACAGTGTGGATTCAAAATGACTACAAAATAAACATGATGCTTGTACTTATAAAAAAAAAAAAAAAAAAAAACGCTTTTAGCAAAGCAGTATGTAGACAGCATTAGTTTGCTGTCATGATTCTGTTTGTTTTTGTTTCTGTGCAGGCGGGATCAGAGGGTGTTCCCTCCAGTGTTGCACCTGATCTATGTTATCATCATTCATCCATCAATCCATTTTGGAATCCGCCTAATCTCACAAGGCTCACGGGCGTGCTGTAGCCAATCCCAGCATTCTTCAGGCAGTAGGTGGGGAACACCCAGAAGCGGTTACCAGCCAATCGCAGGGCACACAGATGAACGATTCGCAATCACATTGCAACCTTCTGAAAGATGACCATATTATTTCTTATTACCCTCGAAAAATCAGCAGTAACACAAAATGCCCAGCCCGTGAAGATAATCTTTTGACATTTGATGGATTTTTTTTATTTGTGAACACAAAAAAAAACATAATTCACAACGGTCGTTCTTCATCCCTGTTTCCACCTTGTTTTGATCTTCTTCGCTCTCAATTGCGAGAAGAGCCCCATTGGGACGTGCAAGGCAAAAGTCGATCGCTTCTGTCTACTGGTCACAGTTTGTCATTGCAACTTTCTGAAAAATGACCATGTTATTTCTTATTACCGTCAAAATATTCAGCAGGGACACAAAATGCCCAGCCTGTGAAGATAAATATGTGACATTTGTTGGATTTTTTTTATTTCTGAACACAAAAAACATTGCTATTAATTCACAACGGACATTCGTCACCACTGTTTCCACCTTGTGTACGGATCTTCTTCGCTGTCAATTGCAAGTGCCCAATTGGGACGTGCACGGTAGAAGCCCGTCACGTCCCTCTGCTGGTCATAGTTTGTCATTGCAACATCCTTGAAGAATACCATGCGACTTCTTATGACACTCGAAAAATCAGCAGTAACACAAAATGGCCACCCTGTGAAGACAATTTTGTTACATTTGATGGATTTTTCTATTACGGAACACAAAAAAAAAACATTACAATTCATTCACAACGTTCGCTCTTCACCTCTGTTCCCACATTGTGTATGGTTCTTCTTGGCTCTGAAAACCGAGAGCCACCTTTGGCCGTGCAGGGCAAACTGCAACAGCTGCCCTTTGTTGGTCAGAGTTAGTTACTGCCACCTTGTGAAGGAATACCACATTATTTCTTATTACCCTACAAGAGAGCCCCATTTGGACGTGCACGGCAATGTTGATCAATACCGTCTGCTGGTCAAGGTTTCTCATTGCAACCTTCTGAAAGAAGACTATATTATTTCTTATCACCCTTGACAAATCAGCAGTAACACAAAATGGCCCGCCTGTGAAGTTAATTTTGTAATTTGATGGATTTTTTAAAAAAATTCTGATCACAAAAAACGCGACAATTAGTTCACAATGGTCGTTCTTCTCTGCTGTTTCCACCTTGTTTTTGGATCTTTTTCACTCTCAATTGCGAGAAGAGCCCAGTAGGGCCGTGCACGGTAGAAGTCCGTCAGTGCCCTCTGCTGGTAATAGTTTGTCATTGCAACCTTCTGAAAGAAAAGCATATTTCTTATTACCCTCGAAAAATTAGCAATACGACAAAATGGCCACCCAGTGAAAAGAATTTTGTGACATTTGATGGATTTTTTTTTTCTCAACACAAAACAACATGACAATTAATTCGCAACGGTCGTTCTTCACTGCTGTTTCCACTTTGTGTATGGCTCTTCTTCGCTCTCAAATTAAAGAGCCCTCTTTGGCTGTGCACAGCAAGCGCCGATAGCTTCCCTCTGCTCGTCAGAGGTAGTCACTGCCACCTTCTGAAAGGGTACCATATTATTTCTTATTACCCCACAAGAGAGCCCCATTTGGACGGGCAAGGCAAAAGTTGATCACTGCCATCTGGTGGTCACAGTCTGTCATTGACACCTTCTGAAAAAAGACCATGTTGATTCTTTTTACCCTCGAAAAATCAGCAGTAACACAAAATGCCCAGCCCGTGAGGATGATTTTGTGACATTTGATGGATTTTTTTTTTCCGAACACAAAAAACATTGCAATGAATTCACAACGGTAATACTTCATCCCTCTTTCCACCTTGTTTGGATCTTCTTTGCTCTCAATTGCAAGAAGAGCCCCATTGGGACGTGCAAGGTAATGGTCGATTACTGCTGTCTGCTGGTCACAGTTAGTCATTTCATCCTTTGAAAAGATTACCATTTTGGCAGCCGTTATTTTCCGGACATCGCGCGTGTGCGCGGTGATTTTTTTCACCGCTTGCTTGTAATCCGTGCCACTCTTGGACCTGCGATAACCGCGCACTTTCAGAAACGGCAAGTGGAAGGGATCGGTTCACTTCCCGACAATTTTGCAGTGCCACGGCAACATTTTATAGCACGAGCGATGCGGCGAGGTTTTTCAGGCCTTTGCTTGCAAATCGCGGCACTCCCGGCCTTCCTCGCTTAGCGCAGTGACAGCGGGTCCAAGCGAATATTCGGACATCGTGCGTGTGCTCAGTTAATTTTTTCAGTGCTTGCTTGTAATCCGCGCCACTCTTGGCCTTGCGATAAAGGCGCAGTGAAGAACAACCGTTCTGAATTAATTGTCGCATTTTTTGTGTTCAGAAATAAAAAAAAAAATAAAAAACATCAATCATTCAGAAATAAGATGGCATTCTTTCAGAAGGTGACAGTGACTCACTCTGACGAGCAGAGGGAAGCTATCGCTGCTTTCTGTGCACAGCCAAAGAGGGCTCTTGCGTTTGAGAGCGAAGAAGAGCCATACACAAGGTGGAAACAGCAGTGAAGACCATTGTGAATTAATGGTCACGTTTTTTGTGTTCAGAAATCAAAAAAATCCATCAAATGTCACAAAATTATCTTCACTGGGTGGCCATTTTGTTGTATTGCAAATTTTTCGAAGGTAATAAAAAATACTCTGGTATTTTTAAGAAGGTTGCAATGACAAACTATGACCAGCAGAGGGTATTGACGGACTTCTACCGTGCATGTCCCAATGGGGCTCTTTTCGCAACTGAGAGTGAAGAAGATCCAAAAACAAGGTGGAAACAGCGGCAAAGAACGACCGCTGTGAACTAATTGTCACGTTTTTTGTGATCAGAAAAAAAAAAAAAATCCATCAAATATCACAAAATTATCTTCACAGAGTGACCATTTTGTGTTACTGCTAATTTTTCGAGGGTAATAGGAAATAATATCGTCTTATTGTCCATGTTGTTACAAATCCCCTGGAATGGAGATTCCTGTCCAAACTTGACCTCAACACGCCAAAGCTCATTGCCTTGATGAAGACCAAGGGAGGTGCCATGGGGATCAAGCTGAAGCCTCTCTTGAAGAAACTGAGTCAGGTGTGCTTGGTTAGAGTTTTGCAAGGAGACAACACTGTCATTCATGCAACACAATGCCTCACACATGCAATATGTGTAAGTAGCAAATGCTGTCGCACATTGGGATATTTCACTTTCAATGTCCAAAGCATACCACCGAATAGAACAAAACATCATTTAAAGTGAAATAGCCCTTCGATCCTAATGGCCTGTTTGTTCCTACATTCCACTTATGGCTCTGCAAATCGTGGCACATGCTACTGCTGTATGTTCTCACCCTGACAGTTCATTGTATTGACGCAATATTAATCTCTTAACAGAACCTTAGCACTGAAGCAAGACGTGACACAGTTATCCGTGCTCTCGTACTGTACCTTGGGGAGAAGGAGGAGGACCTTTTTGAAGATTCCTGGGTAATTGTGAGTATTGTGCCCAGTGACCAGTGATGTGTTCCTCGAGCCGGTCCTTGGCCTCGAGGACCGGCT